TATATATAAGTCATCTGGATTAAGATACCATTAAACCTCTAAGGCAGAGGTGGAGGTAACTCTAGAGATATTTGCCTCATTCTTTAATAATTGTACATTCCAGCCGGGCTCAGTGGCTCAGCCTGTAATCCCAGCGCTTTGGGAGGCTGAGGTGAGTGGATTGCCTGAGCCCGCGGGTTTGAGACCCGCCAGGGCAACTTGGTGAGACTTCATCTCTACAATAAATAAAAAAAAAATTAGCCGGGCGTGGTAGCGTGCTCCTGTAGTTCCAGCTACTTGGAAGGCTGAGGCGGAAGGATCGCCAGAGCCCAGCGGGTCGAGGCTGCGGTGGTCGCGAGTGGCCACTGCACTCCAGTCTGGGCGACAGAGTGAGACTCCAACTCAAAAAAAAAAAAAACAACTGTATGTTTTCACAGTCTGCTATGTCTGCAAGGAACCCTTCAGGATGTCAAGAAGAAACGATAAGGTAGATCACTCTTGGTGATATGTATGTAGCTACATTTTTAAAAAATAGTAAATTTGTGGTCTTTAGATATAATGGACAAAGTAACTTACGGATGGACCAACTCAGCCTTGCAGTCCAGACCTTTCCCTGGGGAGGGACAAACCTATCACAGAGATCAGCCCCCTTGACTGTAAACCTGCAGCATCTGGCTTGCTGACGTTTGCATGTCCCTCAGGGATCTGTCTGGCTTCCGCCATGGCTCTGGCTCTGGCTTGTACTCCTCCTCCCATAAATGCTGACTGTATGGAAAACATACTGTAAACACACTCATGTAGAAATGGAAACAACTTGAGAGTTTGTGTACTGCCTTCCCTGGTGATTAGTTTTATTTTATTTTAATTTTAATTTTAATTTTTTTTTGAGTTGGAGTCTCACTCCATTGCCCAGGTTGGAGTGCAGTGGCATGCTCACAGCCACCCCAGTGTTGACCTGCTGGGCTCAGGCGATCCTTCTACCTCAGTCTTCCAAGTAGCTGGAACTACAGGCATGCGCCACCACACCTGGCTAATTTTTTGATTTATTGTAAAGATGAGGTCTTTCCAAGTTGCCCAGGCTGTTCACAAATCCATGGGTTCAGACAATCCCCTCATCTTGGCCTCCCAAAGTGCTGGGATTACAGGCTTGAGGCACTGTGCCAGGACTGCGATTAGTTTTGAAAAGCGATAGGAGCCATACCCTAAAGGAATGAAATATTTGAGAAATTTTTGCTTCCATCAGGGATGTGTATGCATGTGTGAGCACATGCATGTCTATGAATTAAGTCATACACAGGCTGTAAACTTCTTGGTCTGGTTACTAGTTTCTTCTCAAATCCTCAAAATAGTTTCAAAGTCCCACCCAACTGGGCACACAGCTGTGTGAACAATTCCTTCTGGCTTATGTCCCTATGGCCCTGCAGCCAAATACTTTCTCAGGTGACCCTCTTTTGGGCACAGTCTTGTGCCAGCCATATACTAACCTCTTACCCTGCACCCCTTTCCTCATCCTCATCTTGACTCAAAACCCCGCAAGAGATATTCTTTGTCTAAATTATTTGACTGGCATAAGTGCTTTTTGGTACCAAACCTACTCTGGCAGCTTGAAAACGCCTACTCTCCTAATTTACTCCAGTTCCAAACTAGGGAGTATGAAGACACGAGCTATCCAAAGACTGAGCTGGGGTATGACAGTGCATAGATATTTGGAAGAAAAGTGGGAATCAACAAAGGCCAAAAAACCCATGGCGAATGAAGTAGCAGGTAGCCCAGAGAGGGAAATTTTGGAGGTCAAGTGTTTCCTGCGGGGAGGGGGTACTGGGAACAGTTTGGTCAGATGCTGCTGATGGGTGCAGTGAGAGAAAAGCTGAGTAGTGCCCATTGGATTGGGCAATGTAAGCTCTTTGGAGATCTCATTGGTGACCTTGTAAAAGCAGCTTGGTGGAGTGGTCCTGCCAGAAGCCAATGGACATGGGTTCAAAAGAATGTAGGATAAGAGCACACATGACAAGGAGTCACAGGTAACTGCTTGAAACATTACTTTTATTTTATTTTATTTTATTTTAGTTGAAGTCTCACTCTGTCACCCAGACTGGAGTGCAGTGGCCGCTCCCGGCCACCGCAGTCTCGACCTGCTGGGTTCCAGTGATCCTTCTGCCTCAGCCTTCCGAGTAGCTGGAACTACAGGCGCGTGCTACCACGCTCGGCTCATTTTGATTTATTGTAGAGATGAGGTCTCACCAAGTTGCCCAGGCGGGTCTCGAACCCACGGGCTCAGGCAATCCACTCACCTCAGCCTCCCAAAGGCACGGGATTACAGGCTGAACAACCGAGCCCGGCTGAAACATTACTTTAAAGAGCAGCAGAGAAACAGGGTGGCTGCTAGAAGGGAATGCAAGGCTGTTTTAGTCTGTTTTGTGCTGCTATAACAGAACACTATAGTAATTCAAAAATTACTGTGTAATTTGTAAAGAACAGAAATTCATTTCTCACAGTTATATAAGATGCAAAGTATAAGACCAAGGTGTCAGCAGCCTAATTGTCAGCTGAGGGTCCTATCTCTGCTTCTAAGATGTTTCCTTGAACGTTGCATCCTCACACAGCATAAGGTGGAAGGACAAAAGAGGGTTGAACTCCCTTCTTCAAGCTCCTTTATAAGGGCACCTAATCTTATTCACCAGGGAGAAGTCCTTATGATCTAGTCACCTCTTAAAGGCTCTACCTCTTAATAGTATAACATATACAACACCTAAATTTCCCAGGGAACACATTCAAACCACAGCAGTAGGCTTCTTAATTTTTTAATTTTTTTTTGACTCGGAGTCTCACTCTGTCGCCCAGACTAGAGTGCAGTGGCTGCTCCCAGCCACCACAGCCTCAACCTGCTGGGCTCCAGCGATCCTTCCGCCTCAGCCTTCCAAGTAGCTGGAACTACAGGTGCGCACTACCACACCCAGCTAATTTTTGATTTATTGTAGAGATGAGGTCTCGCCAAGTTGCCCAGGCGGGTTGCGAACCCGCGGGCTCA